CTATATATATATATATATATATATATATATACACACACACACACACACACACACACACACACACACAGCTATACCCATCTCATAGAGCTGGAAGGGACCCTGAAAGGTCATTGAGTCCAGCCCCCTGCCTTCACTAGCAGGACCAAGTACTGATTTTTGCCCCAGATCCCTAAGTGGCCCCCTGAAGGATTGAACTCACAACCCTGGGTTTAGCAGGCCAATGCTCAAACCACTAAGCTATCCCTCTTCCTTTCCCTGCCAAAGGGCACTTTCTGCACCAAAGCCACAGATCCCAGGCATGCTTAGGCAGTACTATTTCCCATCAGACAGAGGAAAACTGATACAACCATTCAAAATTCCAGTCAGAGCTTTTATAAAACCATTTAAAGCCTTTTGTTCTCGATGCAAAAATGCCAAGTTGTCCCTCCTAGGTAGCTGGAATAGCAAAACATTTGTCTTATGAGCAAAATAAAATTGTATGAGACTATGTAACAAACCTGCAGTGGGTGGTTACTCCCCTTCACCTTCCAACAACAATCTTTTTTTAAGGCAACAATAAAAGTTTGGTAAGAACAGATCATCCACTGAGTCATAGATACAGGCCCCTGGGGCGATGGGGGCTGAGAATAACTGGAGCAGAGAGAACCCTAGCCGTGCCCTCTGACTTGCTCCCCCATGCCCTATACTAGTGACGATAATAGAGCCCTCTTCCCATCTCTGAGCTATGAGGAGCAGCCTCGTATTCTGGCGTTCCCCCAGGGGCCAGCATCCGGCTGGAATGACGTAAAGGAGCTGTGGAGAATCAAGGTCCTGATTTCTAACAAATGTTTGTTTCTGCTTCCTAGCATAGCACAGAGGTTAAGAAAAGCAAGGACTTACAATGACAGGGCCCACGATTGAGGAAAGCAGCTTGAAATGCAATCTGTGGAAAAAGAAACCGTCTCGGACTTATCAATCTCAAAATCATTAGCTCGTAGTTTAGGTCCCAAAATATCTAAAAACTTAAAACCCAGGTGGTAAGGGAGCCACGTTGCTCTCTTCATTGCCCATCACGTCTGCTCAGGACCCTATTCTTTAATATTAACCCATTCTGGAGAAAATACTTGGAAGACTTGATACCTGTCCAGGGATGCAGTGAATTGCACCTTTCCTTCAACCAGCTGGAGAGTGGCAACCAAACCGAGTTCCTGCAAGGAGGAAATGAGTCACCAAATCAGCTGATCTGAGTGTCAGCACCTGAGCTCTGAGAACAGACCATCAGCTGCAGAATACAGCAGAGACATTTCCTCCCTGCTTGGGTTAAGCTACTCAGAGAAAGGAAACCAACAATGGTCCCTCTGTGAATTCACTGACATCACACGAACGCTCAGAACTGTAAGCAAGGGGCAGAAAGGGAAAAGCAAGTGGCCCAAGATCTTTCCCACAATCCAAGACACTCCCACAATCCCAGAGCAGCTGGAGAATTCTGCTAAATTGATCCGGGAGGGGACAGTTTAAAATGCTTTCACAGGACTTCAATGTCAACACCCTATTGAGCTGAACAGAGGCAGTTCGCTCCTCTCAGAACCGTTGGGCCAGGAGGGCCCCCATGGATTCTGTCAGACCGTGCAGTCAGACGGCACTAGCGCTGCGTCAGATCACAGTCCGCTCACGTTCGGAAGGTCTGTTCTGCAGCCGGGAAGGCCGCACTCATCTATTTTAACGACACACAAGCTTGGGTTCTGCAGGACCTGACGGAGCCGCTAGAAAAGTGCTGCTTCAGCAAAGTACTGCGTCCCAGCTCAGTCCACCTGCACACCACAGGCCCCTCCTGAGCCAGACTCAGTCTAACCCCATGGTTAGAATCTCAGCTCATGCAGCGTGAGGAATTTTTTCTGAGACTGTGTATGAAGTTTAAGGCCGGAAAGCAATAACATTTCATTCACAAGGATGGGACAATGCTCTGGACGCTGCACTGTGGTTAGTCAATATGGCCTGGAGCAGAGTGCATTTTTCAGAGGTTCTTTTTAACCAGAGCTGGGATCTACCGAAAACCATTGCTTAATGCTCAGCTTTCACAGTTCTTGGAGAGGATGCCGCTCCTCCAGCTGCAGAATCAAACTTGTCACAGACACAGAGCACCTACTCATCGATATGAATGACTTCGCTGTAAACCCAAACCCACCCGTCGGCCTCTGCATCCAGAAAGCCAGTATCCATTGGGCAGCAGCTCCTCCATTTTTCACCCTTTGGGATTAAATCGGATCTTTCTATCGCAGTACTTACTGCTTTCAAAGCAACGAGGAGCACAGGTTTCTTGTTTCCCTTTTTATCCATTATCTGCAGGCTGAGAGTGAGATTCATGGTGCACAGGTTCACATCCAGACCGACCGTCAGAGGTGTGACCATTTTGGTAATGATGAACAGCGAAGAGGAGATTGGAGTGCAGGTTGGGCACTGTAAGAAAAGAGAAGACAGGGACTAGATTTAACCTGAAAAACACACACAGTGAGATTGACGTGGGCCCTCCCATGGACCTTGGAGAGAAAAGACAAGGAAACGACAGGTGACAGTACGGGCATGATGAGGTATTCTGAGCCCCTGCAGTAGGTGGAGTAGATGCTGTGTAATCCCCAGAGACACAACAGCAAATGCAGATTTTGACTGTCCTGCTTGTGTGATCTCAGAAGTCCCGTCAACCCCAACACTTCACTGGGATGGAGATCCGCGTTCTTACTACTCTTCACCCCCTTTTTCTGTTGACAAACGCTGCCTCCTCTCCCAACTGGCTGTTTCTTTCCAACACAAAGATGAGTCAATTTTCTTCGAGAGCCTGCAGCTTTCCATTTCAGCAGTCCCAGCCCAGGCTGCAGTAGGACAATACTCACTTCTCTCTGGGGGGACTGCTTTTTTCTCTCAGAGGGGGCAAGAGCATCAGTCCATGCAGCTGGGACAAAAAACACCACAGCACCGGGAGCAAGAGCTAAGGCCCCAGGTGCCACGGCCCCTACGCAGTCAGGCATGGAATGAACCCTTCAGACATCAGCAAGGTCTGTTGTGCAGCGGGATAAGCAATGTGACATTTGGTCCAACAGAGACATGATCACCGTGTGACTGAGGGGGACTCACCTTGGAAACAATCAGTTCAGAGAGGATCAGCTCCAGGGAGACAGTGTCAAGAAACTGAAACAAAAATGAAGGAGACACACGGTGGATGAGATAAAGTAAGTCACTGGACCAGCGTTTGTTGGCGAGACACAAGCTTTCAGGTTACACAGAGCGCTTCTTCACGTCATGCTCTGCGTCAGCTCCATAGCTGGGCTCTCTCACCAACAGAAGTTTGTCCAATATATCACCTCCCCCCCTTGTCTCTCTGATCTGCTAGGACCAACACAGCTACCACAACACTGCATACAAAAATTAACAGTCAGCTGAAAATGCTGAACCTTCCCCAACAGTGTCTGTCTCATCATCCTCCTCCTTCAGGGGGAAGGTCACTCCACCCACATGAAGCCACAGTGAATGGGTATTTTTGTTTTGTGTTTTTAAGAGGTGAAGTGTACAGGTGCTGCAGAGGGCACAACCCATGCTGGGGTGATGAGTCTTGTAGCTCCATGCCCCAGGGCTGCCTCTGAACATGGAGTACATGGTTACCCCAGCTCCAAAGAAAGTTTGAGTACCAGCTGTTTTGAACTTACAGGGAACCAGGGTAAATTTTAAATCAACCACAGCTCATGTACAGTTTGACCTCATCTCGTCCAACTTTGCAGGAACGTTCTCCTTTGCCATCACAGTAAGTGTGGCGAGTTTTGGAACCAACCTATTTTTCCAGCCAAAACTGCTGGGGTCTGAGCAGATGAACATAGGATTTAGCTGACTAGATCTCTGTCCTTGTTCCCACTAAGCTCTGTGTATTGTGCTGAGTTTCCAGGAATGAAACCCCACCTGGCAGGGTCAGTAAAGGTCTTCAGTGCTATTTGGCTCTTCTCCATTGGCTTTTTTTTAATTCTAACCATATTCTGTAGGTTCTTCCTCCTAGCCCAGACTTTCTACAGCTTTTAATTAACTAAATCCAACCTGTTTCAGGTGAATGAAGAACAAACGGCTGCATCAGTAAGGATATAGCTTTGCACAGAGATCTCCAAACCCCGCGGAGGCAGTACCATACCTGATCAGGCTCCAGGCCTAGAAAGCTGGAGATTAGACTATTTCTGCATTTGCATAAAAAAATGTATATTTAATGAACACGCACTGCCTTGTTTGCATATATTCAGCCTCTTGCCTGTACTCCCAACTTAATCCTCCCTGGTCTTCCCTTGAATTCCCCCCTTAATTTTCCCTCTTGTACCTCCTCTCCCTGGCTGACCTCCCGTTCCCTCCCTTGGCTTTCCCCTTTGTCTATGCCCCATGCCTCTGGTAATCTCCAACTCCCCTTATACTCTACCCCCAAAAACCCTTCATTCAGAGATCCTTCTTCAAGCACGTCCTCGAACCAGCAGCGGCCACACTGATATAGCTAGAGTGACTGCAACCCCGCACCGCTCCACCCATTATACTGCCCAGCACTCGAGCCTGGTCGCTAAGGGTACGTCTACCTGCAGTGTGGAGCGAGTCTCCCAGCCCAGGCAGACAGACCTATGTAGCAGGGCATGTGCTAGGGTGCTAAAAAAGCGGCGCGGACATTGCAGCACCAACAGAGGCTTGGCCCAGCTACCCGAGCTCAGATCCAGGGGGATAGGCCTTAAGGCTGCAGGACAGTTGGATGCTGTGCTCTAACGCACCTCCTTCTCTATAGCTCCCCGTGCTGGGCCAGTGAAAACAGGAGATAAGCAGGTGCTTAGGAAAGGACTCCTAAAATCAGGAGCCTCCTAGGCTGATCCAGGAGGCTGAAGGGTTTGGTGGAGGACGCTGACTCCACAGTAACACCATGATGTTCCACTGAGGGCATCACTCACCGTTTGAGGGGTACAAGAGAAGGAATGAGGTTTCTTGAAGACTGTGTAGGAGAAGATAGAAGTGATGACATTCTCCCCTATGGCCTCAGATGTATGATTCATTTCTGGCAATATCACAAAGTTCTCCGGGAGGGGTGGAATGGGGATCTTCTTCCCATCGTCAGCCAGGTATTCCGTCTGAAAGCAGAGATCAGAAAAGTCACTTAACACAACAAAAAGCCCCTTAATTAGGAGTTTAAAATAATTATTCTAACTGGCAAAGGCACAAAATGAGGGAGAAAGAAATTACTCATGCAGTACTGAGGGGAGGGATTCATGCCTCCTGTGCACATAACACACTCCATAGCCTCAGTTCACGATCCTTCAGCGTGGATATGAATCATTTCCAGCAATAGAAGTGATAGGTGAGGGCGCCAAATCTGTGCAGAAAGGAGCAAAGCCCCTCAAAGTGTGGGCCCTTTGGGAGGTGGGCCCTTGGCATATGGAGCAGAACGAGAGGATCCACCCTCCACCCTGTGATCCAAAATCGCTTGCCAGACACTTGATTCACCTTTGCTAGTAAGGGAGGTACAAATTCCACAACCCTGAGCCAGTGGAGGCCACTGCAGGAGGATCACACACACACACACACACCCCCCGGGAGAACAAAATGTGTCACTGGGAGTTCAGCTGTAAACTGCCGTTCAGACTGTATGGGAGAGGGGATTGAAACTATGACCTTGGGATAGAAAAGCATGGACCTCTACTGCTTGAACTAGAAGACCCAGGTCAGACTCATACACCTCTATGTGGTCCAGGCAGGAGAGGGGGGCGGAGAGCCACCATGCATAAGGGTGAATTACAGGAAAGATGGCCAGCGGCCATGCCGAGTGCTGGATGGTTGGTTAAACCACATCATCTGGCCTTGCAATCTACGAATCCATAAGGGACCATTGTGATCATCTGCATTGCACAGGCCAGATAATTTCACCTGCTGTTTCCTGCCTGGACACCCATAACTTTTGGTTGAGCTGCAGCATCTCTTAGAAAGACACCCAGCCTAACGTAAAGACGTCACGTGACGAAGCATGTGCTACATCCCATGGGAAACTGTTCCAGTGGTTAATTATCCTCACTGTTAAAACATGTGCTTTATTTCCTATCTGGGTAACTGTGAGCCATGAATCGATTAGCTTTATCTGCAGAGCAACCCTCTTGTTCTCGCTCTGCTGGGTTGCCGTGGATTTGGTGACGGATTCCGCTGTTCTGTTGCGGCGGGGGAAGGTTGTTTGGTTTTAAATAACTAGTCGCTGAAAGCCCTGGCTGGAAAAACTGACAGTTGGTCCAAGTAATCCTCCACTGTGCCGTTTTCCTCTCGCAACCAATGAAACTGTTCCATGCAAATTAGCTGCAGAGTGAGGGTGGTGATGGTCTGAGTGATCTCTGATGTCACCATGGTTCAGGTGACGGTCTCTAGGTGGGGCACAGATACATACATGCCTTTCTGTCACATGGGTGTAATTTGTAACGTCAAAATGGCTTAGAACTTAAAAATCGGATGGTTACAGACTGCAAAGCCCAGTGATGATTGAACCGGGTGATATTCTGAACAAAAATCTCTCTCAGTGGTTTCCAGCGCTTTACATGGACTCAGACATTCTCAGGCTTCAGCGTGACATGCAGAGTGACAATGCTGGAACCTTATATAATTAGTATTGGTGTCAGGAAGCTACCAAGTCACTCAGCAGGTCCAAGGTTGTTCTTTGCTTTTTCTCCTGCTCAGTCTTCAGCCCTCTTCCCATCAGCTGACATCAGGAAAGAAAAACGTTGCTGACAAAGAAAGCCCGTTAGCATAATCCACTGACGAGAACCTCGCAATGGGACAAGCCTCTGCTCCTGCCTCTTATGTTTCACTGAGTAATAAACGCCTCATGGACCCTGATTCTGCTCTGCTAACTCACACTGAGTAGCACTTACTCACATGAATTGCCCCATTGCTAGATATCATACAATTCATTCAGGAGAAAGAGCAGGAAAGCATATGGCCCTGATCCTGCAAAGACTTATGCAGGCATTTAGCTGCACTGGGAGGAGTTAAGGAAGTGAATAAGTCTTTTCAGCATCAGGGCCTAGATGAGTAAGTGCTAACTGACATGAATAAGGGCAGCAGAATGGATCCCTAAGTGAGACTGTGGCTATACTGACATCTGACGAGTTACCCTGAGGTTTTTCTGTCACTCATTTCTCTGACCAACATCACAGAAGGTAAGAAAGCTGACACCTTTCAGAGTTTCAGGGCTGATCCAGAGTAAGAAAGTTGTGAAATCTCAGCCTCAGAAATGCTACCTAGAGTTTACACACTTACCTGTACAGGAATTTCAATGAACCGGTCATTTACTTTTGGAGTTTGAGCCACATACAGGAGCTTTCCCTTCTCAAATGGGAGTACAGCTGCATGGAAAGGAAAAACATTTACAACATGGACCAGAAACAGGGAGGAGAATCACTGCAGATGGAAGATGCACAACCTTGAGCTGGGATTTCAGCAAAATTCCAGATAAATTTAAAGCTAGGAGGTTGGTTCCAATGAATGGAACATCTTCTCCAATAAACTTGTCAGAATTAGATATAAATGACACCGACACGAGAACCCCCTCTTCCAAGAGAGAGTCACTTGTCCTCATGCCCAGAACTGAGAGAACATGCATCACATAGTCATTTTCCAACACAGGTAAAGATGCGTTCCATGCCCAAAGAGCATTTGACTGAACTTAGACAAAGCAGAAAACCAGACAAACCAAGACCCTGGTCAATGACTGAGGCAAGGGAGGCTGTGAGGATAATTTGGGGCAAAAAGCAGCATAAAAATACATGTTATCTTCAAGCCCCTACATATTCTGCCGCAAGCTGGAGCTAAGTTCAGCAGCAAGGTGCTTGGATTGTGTGCAGTTTAGTGAAGTCTAGGGCAGCTTGCGATAATTCTGTAAAAGCCTGTGTATTGTAAACTTAAACGTGAGGCTGAGAAGTAAAGTCAAAACAGCAAGCCCTGTGTCATTTATTGCGTAGTTATTGAATTCAGTTTGTTTTAGGATCTTCCCGCATATTCATGTTTTGATATGTTGCCGATTGTTGTCTTTATGTTTCTAAGTCAACCACACACTGAGATGAATGGGGCTGTTCAAAGCTCTCAGAGATATTGTTTCAGGATGGCTGCAGACTCAGGCAGACGCCCCAGTATTGGTTACACTTGGTCCCATGGTCAAGGTTCTCTCTACAAACATGAAGGATAGAAACGGAATTGTTTTCACTGAAGGCTGAAGATTCTGGAGTCTAGTTCTGCTGCAAGGGATGAATTCCAGATTCCCAGGATACACTGGGCCCTGATTACTATTCCAGTCAAACAGGAAAGGACTCTTGTGACAAAATGCTGCATCCCCCACCAACACAGCCCCCCACCCATCCCTGAACCGAGCAGAGATACGGCCACTCCACCAGACAATGGGGGAAGGCTGTGCAGACTGCGCTCAGATCCGGTAATGCCTCTCCGAGACAACGTTAAGGACAGCGAGGGGCGAACGCCATATAGGCCCCTATTCGAGCTGACCTATACCTGATAGATCTTAACAGCTGCAGCGGAGTGGCTGAGTAGTAAGACACTAAGAGTACGTGCACACTAGAGCGAAGTGTAAATTCCAGCTCGAGGAGACATGCCTGCACTATCTCGGCTCACGCTAGCGTGTTCAGAACAGAAGCGTAGCTGCAGCAGTGGAAGCAGCGAAAGGAGCTGGCTGCCCCAAATACAAAGCTGTCCGAGACCAGCGGTACATACACGGGGCAGCGAGCCCGTCTGCTGCTCGTGCTGCTATGGCTACACGTCTATTTTTAGTATGTTAGCTGGATGGGAGCTAGTGTGGGTGTGTCTCCTCCCGCTGGAATTTACATCTTCCAGCTCCACTGCAGACATACCTTGAACCATAGAGAGGGGAGGATCCTTTCCTGGCTGCCCCCCCGCCCCCAAACGCTTCTTATATTCCCTGACAAAAGCTCCTTTACCCTTACTTTCCACCGGGCTGGTGTGGTGTTTGGGAACAGGGTCAGTAAGTAACAGTCACGTGCGAATATTGGTGACATCACAGCAGACTGTTCGGAAGCTTTCTCAATCCATCACTAGCTTCCAACGCTTGGCAGCTGACCCCCCAGTGATGTGCCGCAGGCCGTCTATCCATCTCCTCGCTGGCCAACCCCTATAGCCGTGGTCTGGTGTGATGGGCTGGTCACCCCACACTAGCCCGGGGAGCGCCCATGCGGCTCAGCAGGGCTAAGTCATCTGACAGGCCACACTTGAGGGAGGATCAGGCTGACAAACAATCCCTGATTGAGGATGGGGCCCAGCTGAGCAGGAGCAGGTGGGGGCAGAAAGGGGCTGCAGCCTGGAAGCCAGCAGTCACTGTCTGGGCTTAGAGAGGGAAAGGCGGAGACCCAGGGGGAGAGGAAGGTCCCTGGAGGAAGGTTTACCCAGGTGGTGATGGAGAAGAAGCCTGAAGGGGTGGAGTAGGAAAAGGCTCAGGGGAAGAGCAGCAAGGATGTGGACGGTGCAGACTTTGGCAGCTGATTGGAGGGTCCCTGAGCTGGAACCCAGAGTAGTGGGCAGGCCTGGGTTCCCTGCCAGCCCCGGGGAAGTGGCATTGCCTTGGATTGGACGAGTGCCGGGAACGATACCCAGTCTGCCAGTCCAGGGAGACTGACACTCCAGAAGGGGGAAAACACAGCGACTGGCCAGAGGGCCCAGCCCCGAAGAGGGAGCACACTGCAGCTCCTGGAGCACGAGAGGGGCCGCAGTGTGAGCAAGAGACAGGCTGGGTGTCAGACCCGGCAGAGCTATTCCTCAGATGCAGCCCAAGCAGTGAGCAGAGAACCCAGGACACCTGTGACCATTCCTTCCATGGCAGCTTTTCTCACGGTTATTTCCATCTCTGCGCTTGATGTGGCCAAAGTTTGTGCCTGTCACTTTTCGACAAAAGGGTCTGCTTCTCTCCAGCAACATTTCTAACAGAAGCATGTTATCCAGGTCCAGGACACACACACAAGCCTTCGCCAGCACTGCACCTCAGAGGCAGCAGTAGGACAGTATTCCTTTAAGAAGTCTGTAAGCTCTCTAGGCGTGCTCTGTGTTATAGGAACTGCCACCCAGAGCAGCAGTGTATATACGCAGGTAGGCTTTGCATGCTGTGTATGTTCAGTAAACAGTGTTCTTTGGACCCTACTATGCCTAGGTGGTTCCCTCATAGGACGTTTGTTGTGTAAAAACAAAAGATACAACAGCTGGGGGTCGTCCTACTCAAAGGCAGCAACGCCAGGAGCAAGTCTCTACACACGTAGAGCTTCTGGATGGGCTGATAAAAGCACAGAGCTTCCTGCGTTGAGCTTACTGGACACAGAAAGAGAACCCACAGGGAGACAGTCCGTGGCACTTACAGTTAATCTCACTCAGCATCTTTGAATGCCCGAAGGAAATACAAGCGGAAAGTATCGTCGGGATCTGTAACACAAAGCAAGAGACAGTCAGGGAGGAGGAAATGGCTGCGATGGCCTGGGTGACTTTCACTAATAGGAGCAGTTCTGTCCCTGAGATTTGTACGGAGCTTAGTGACATCTTAGGGTGGGATTGATTGATTCATTTTAAGGCGGCAAGTAGAGGTTGGAGCCACATGAGATTGCCCAGCACCATTATCACTGGGACAGAGGTTCTGCTCCTCATTGGGCTCTGCTCAAGGCATGGAGGGGGCTTATAGCCTCAGTGTTAACAAAGACATTGGCTCAGACGCCTTCCCACCCTTTGCCCAGGGAGGGGAATAACTGGCGACAGGAAGGTCTTTGCCATCTCACACCAAGGGCTGGTGTGACAGCTGCCATCCTGGGCCGCGGTGGGGATTAGAAGCAGGAGTCTCTACAGCATGAGCTACAGAGCCCGGTTTCGTATGCGGGGCTGTGATGGCCTCACCCCCTCTACACATCTTCCCGTGTGCCCGATCGGTAACACACCAACCAGCAGGCGATGCTAGAGTGAACCTCTACGGCCGGAGTAAGAGGAAGCAGCATCACAAAACCTTCTCTGCTCCGGAGGGGGGAGTAACCCACTGCAGTCCTGACAAAGGTGGCGGTGCAGCTGACTTCTCACTTTACACGGGCCAGCGAATGGGGTGGAGGTCAGAGCTAATGCTCTGCCCCCACCAGGTGGTGGATCGGGGAGGTAGGAGGGGAGTCCGACAAAGCTTCTCCCCTCCCTTGTCCCTTGCCATGCCTGAACTAGGCATCCAGAGGTGCTGGGGGGGAGGGAGGGGCGTGCTTTACATCACTCTTACTCCTCCACACACCAGCAACTGGCAGGGTTGGGTAGGAGACTTACCTTGACTTGTAACGCCAGTAGAATGTTGTTCCCTAGGCTGGCTGTCACGCTCGCACGGATATCGCTGCATGCAAAATTACAGAGAGTAAACCAACAAAACCCCAAACCAGCATCACGAGAGAAATGAGATGGGCACGATCGGCATGGAATAGTCCAAAGCCCATTTCACATTTTTAAATGGTACCTAAAGGGACCCCTCCTTCAGGATAGAGCAGATTGGCGTGCTATGAGTTTGGGGCATTTTCTGTAGACAGACCAAATAAACCGAACAGCTCTAATTTCACTGCTGCCCCCTGGCCAGCTGAGTCTTGTGAATTAAAGCTTAGTCCATCAGGATCGTATTCTGCAGCCATTCCCCTGCATGCCGGGATCCTGGTTCTGCAGAGTCGATTATTTATCGTGTTTTACGGGAGTGTCTAGAGGCTAACTGAGAACAGGCCCCTTTGTGCTAGACTCTGCACAAGCACAGAACAAGAGACAGTCCCCATTCCAAAGAGCTCACACTAATCTAAATCGATGGCACCACAATATACTGGATCACATGGGAATCTACTTCTCTGGCTACTTGAACGCAACGGAATTCAGCCATTCTGCTGATAAAGACGAATGCAAGACCTAAAGATGCTAGGTAGGAAATGGAAACGTATCCAGTGAAGATATTGACAGACGCAGCACAGAACACCGGCACTCACAGCAAGTTGATACTGATGTCCTTGAGAACCATCGCACATTGACAATCCTTGACGGCAACGCTGGTGGTAAGCGGCAAATACTTAGGCAGCAGAACGAGCGCACTACAGTCTACATGCACGTTGATAGTGGTCAGGCCAGATAAGAGGATAGACCAGCTGCAGAGACAAATACACATTAAACAGACAGACAATCGCACACAGTACGGCAACCCTGTGATCTGCTCTGTGTAAATGGAGGCTTGTTTCCAAATACAAGGTGTGTACATTGAGCAAAACCAGTTTCCTTCCATCCCTGCCAGCACTACAGCTCTTCCCACCAGTCAATTCACTCACTGGCCACCCCTCAAGGGCTCCTCGGATTGCATTCTGTGCAGCAATAATCCAGGGCCAGATTCTGACACCCTGACTCGCAGTGCATATTACACCTCATCTCTGTGGGTACCCCCCTGATAGCAGTGGGAATAATCCATGTGAGCAAGGATGGCAGAATCTGGTCAAAGAGAGCAATGAAAGGGGCCAGTATTACATGTGTAGATTTGCTTTGCAATGAGGAAGGGTTGTAAACACTTTGAGCCCCTCGAGAGAAGTCCACCCTGGTTTTCCTTTAGACGACGTAGGGGACGTTGTTTATAAACTCCAGGCAGTGGCATTGTTCAGTTAGTGCATTCTCACCACTGGAGCCAAGGGCTCAAATCCATGTTTAGAGGAAGTCGCAAGTGATCAGTGGAGAAATTAGAGACAAATGACATAGGCTATTTAGCCCATCATCGGAGATCACGGCAGGATTGTTCCCAGCAGCGGATTCACCAGTGCTTTCAGGGATCTGGTTTTAAATGACTCATGGAATGGGGCCTCCACTCCACGGGAGCCTATCCCCAAATCTCTCAAATCTGGTCTAGCCAGTCCAGAGGGAGAAGAAGAAAGACAACCATATGAGAAAGCCATCTAGCAGCAAGCCGAAGGGAGCGAGAGACACAGGAAACGGGGAGAAACTGGCAGCCAAGGGAGCGAGAGACACAGGAAATGGGAGAAACTGGTCAGCTCTGCAGATCAGAGACCTGCTTTAAATTGACTCCTGTCATTGAGAGATTCTGAAACCTTAAAAATATATATATATATAAAACCAGGCAAAAAATCTGAATCGGAAGCTAAAGTTGAGAGCAGGGAGTGGGAGTCACTACAGAAGCAAAAAGGAAGTGAACGTGGTAGGTTTTTTAAACACAAACATGAGAAAGCTGGATATTCAAAGTTAAATTCCCACTTTAAAAAACCAAATGAACATTCTGAAGTATGGAAACGTATTTTTGCCCACACAGCCAGAGCATAGAAGCTTGGATCCAATGCTAACAGCAAACGCTGAGCAGGGGCATTTCAGTGGCGACTCCCCAAAGTCAGAACGCCGTTTACTAGACTGCCCTACCCTTACCTTTATAGTAATTACAGACTGCTCTCCCACTACAGGAAAAAGCTACACTGGTCTAAACACAAACTCATGCGATTCCTGGCTTCTTTAGGACCATCTGGTCAATGGAAATATGCATTTGGCCACTTTGTGCATGAGCAAAAGGCATACTGGGAACATCTCCTCTCAATGATCACCAAAGGGACCCAGGCTTCCAATACAAATGTTGTTAGACACCAAGTACTGAATCAACAGTGCACATTTCCAAGGCCCAGGACCTGCATGTTAAGAGGTTAGTGTAGTGATGAAAGGAAGAAACATGTCTGAAGCCAATGCTTTAAAATACACAGGTGCTGCCTCTCACATGTGAACTGCATGAATTCTTTCAAATACCGAAAATTCCTGCAGCCTTCCAAAATTACATTCCAGGCCCACTTCTGTTTAATCCTGTCTTACATACCCGGTATGCTGGCTAAAAGATGGGAGGCTGGACAGAGCATAGAGGAAGAGATAAGGTTATCTGGTGACTGTGGAGTCCTTCTGACGAGTGGCCTGTTCTCAGCAGAGTCCTAGTACAAAGACTATAATTCCCAGTAGCCACTGATGCTGCAGTATCCAAGATAAAGTGACCAGAAGTACCATACGTCAGGAGACCTCCCCTACCCTATTAGTGCCCTGCAGAGCCACTACATGGGCAGGGCACAGAGGGTGAGGGGAGCTGGTTCAAAGCCATTTGGTATTAGAGAGTCTAGTAGCTTCCATTGATTGGTTTTGCTTTGTCTCTTCTGAGCCTTGTGGGCTACAGGGTCTGAGTCTCAACAAGTTTTCATCATGGAGAGGGATCCCAGGTGCAGAGTTTTAATTTTTGCAAAGTTTTCTGAAGAAGCAACATGATGTTTCCTGCCCCCTCCCCCATCCAGCCAGCCAGCTTCCCTCATTCAATTCCCTTCTACTGTGGAAACAAACTAAAAACAAGTCTAGCTCCACTCACCAAGTGCCCAGGATTTTGAGTTTAGCAGAAAATTTCACCTTGACCCCAACTCCAGGAATGTACTTGGATTTCACTGGGAGCACAATGGCTTTAGCAACATGCAACCTGCAAAATGAAATCAGAGGAGGTCAGACAGAAAACCAGGCTCAGATGTTCAGGGAGGCTGCTTCAGGGCCCCACTCATAAATATTATCTGCTGACCTGACCAAGAACACTCCATAACACAGTGACCAGGGCTAAAAGTTATAAGGGAGTCGTCTTTCTCCTCCTCTTCCCTCCCACCCCCAGCTCTAGTCTGGTCTAAGAGTGGGGCCTCCACACTACCATGATACAGATACAGAATATTAATAGTGCAGAAACCTTTATTCCATTTTTCGTTACTCACCCATTGATAGCAATTAAGGTAATTGTTGATCCTGGGAATTTGAGTGTCTCCATTTCATGCCGGAAGAGGCCAGTTACTGACTCTTCACAAGCTGAAAAGAAAAACGTTCCACGAGACCTACTGTTTCAGACACTGAGCTCAAATTGGATACAAGAGAGGGTGCTTTAAGTCATCACTTTCTCTAGTCGAATAGGCCAAACAGTCAGAGGAATCTTAGGCCTTGGCTACACTTACCCGCTAGTTCGACGGCTGGAAATCGAACTTCTGGGTTCGACTTATCGCGTCTAGTCTGGACGCGATAAGTCGAACCCGGAAGTGCTCGCCGTCGACTGTGGTACTCCAGCTCGGCGAGAGGAGTACCGCGGAGTCGACGGGGGAGCCTGCCTGCCGAGTGTGGACCAAGGTAAGTTCGAACTAATTCCAACTAAGGTACTTCGAACTTCAGCTACGTTATTCACGTAGCTGAAGTTGCGTACCTTAGTTCGAATTAGGGGGGGTAGTGTAGACCAGGCCTTAGCCCAGCCTCTGATCTTGTGCGGTCAGTCAAGTGTGGCTGCAGACTACAGAATTCAGCTGTCTAATGAACTGATTTATGGGTGCAGCAATGGAAGCACAATTTCTGTCACCTGCACTTGTCGTTTTGCTCCCATATGTGACTGCAAGTGGGAAATTGTAGGTACAATATTACAGGTTTTTTTAATACTTGATCCTGGCATGATCACTCGTTCAGAATTCTCAGTACTCTCTTGACTTCGCAAAAAGCGTCAGATTCCAGTGCAGTGCACTCTGCTGAAAACTGACACAAGATGAGTTTATTGGGCCTACTGCGTTATTCTGTTTCAGTCCATTGAAATCAATGGAGACATACAGCAGAGTAAAGCTGGAGTAATAACGCAGTGGTGCAGCATCAGGTCGATATCTGTGTTTATGGAAGGGTGCTTCACACTCAGGGGCACCATACACAGAGCCGGTGGATAAGAAACTTCGAACCATCATTTGTACAGTTACAAGTTCAATGATCCTTCACGACAAGGGAGGAGAAACTGCTTTTATAGTTGGCTAGCCGTTCACAGTCTTTGTTTAATCCTGAGCTGATGGTATCAAATTTGCATACTTGACACCATCCCTTGGTGTTCACACCTCAACTACTAGAAGAGGGCCTCATCCTCCCTGATTGAACTAACCTCGTTATCTCTAGACTGATTCTTGCCTGCATATTTATACCTGCCTCTGGAAATTTCCATCACATGTGTCTGACGAAGTGGGTATTCACCCACGAAAGCTTATGCTCCAATACATCTGTTAGTCTATAAGGTGCCACAGGACGCTTTGTTGCTTTTTACAGATCCAGACTAACACAGCTACCCCTCTGATTCTAGAAACTGTAAAGCATTTCCTCGAGTCCTTTGAGCAGCCAATTATTCAAAGGATGCACAACCTGGCCCTTGACATTTGTGCCTGCAATTTCACTTGCACGGCTATTTGCCAACACAAAAACCCAGATTTGCACACATAAATCTGGGATCTGCAAACACACCTGCATCTCCAGACCTGCAGACATGACTTCACAGGCTGCTTTGTAAAGTTTGGCCATAACGTGTTCTGGGGACATTTTCATTTCACAAGGGACAAGACTGCCATGTTCCTTGCAGGGCAGATTATTCTGTTGCCTCTCTCCAAAGGAAGAGACAAATACCTTCCTAACTCATGGGCAGGAGGGGGGTCTTCAGGGCAGGAGGCTGTCTGAATTTCCTAAAGGAGACAGGAGTTGAGAGGACCTGGGACTGCCACAAAACAAATCAGTAAATGCAAGAACAGAGCAGAAGTATTCAATAAGAGAAAGAAAAGGGCCTGGTGAGGCAGGTTTTATCCCCAATTATCCTGCCCCACAGTGCAGAGATTGACATGACCCGAGTCACTTACCCCTTTCATATGACTCTTGAGGGATAATGCAGCGTCCTGTGCCTGAAACTTGCATTGGCATCAGCAGGCCACAGAGAACAAGGCCCAAAACCTTCATCATCTTCAGTCCTTGTACCTGCCAAGAGCATTCAGGATCAGGGCAACATCACAGAGCAAAGGGGGAACCCACCCGCAAAGGAGACACGGTGTCCAAGGAGACAGGCCCTGTCTACGCTACAGAAACTCATGCTCCATGGACAGTTACTGTAATAAACCCCTGACGCAGTCATGCTGCACCAGAGCAGACTGGCACTTACATCAAGAATGGGGGACTGCAACCATCTACCACCTCTTTAAACACCTCTGTCCTTGTCTACACTAGGTGCTAAGTGGTGTTTAAAAACATGCTAAACATACCTCAGTTCCCCAGTGTAGACAGGACACAGGGAAGAGGGAGCAGAAGTCTAGAGAGCTGCCTGAGTAAGCGCTCAGGCCACACAGGAATACTAAGAAGGTACCTATGTGAATTAAGGACCAGGGAAAGCAATTGTAGGCCTGACTCTCCATTGTGTTGCACCTCAGGGAACTGGATAGCATTTCACACTCACTCTGCACGGGGTGAACACTACACAATGTGCAGGGTGGAGAAAACTGGGCCCAGTGCTCTAGTACAGATAATCCCATTGGAATTTTGAGAAAGAACATACCGAAGATCACACCAAAGCAGCTTCTCTGCCTGCAGCATGAATTTACCAGTTTATTTTTCAGCTCCTGTTTGACGCCTTCAGGTATCACCAAATTACATCTCCGTAAATGGACTTCCCACTTCCTCCTTGTCCATTGCTCCTTGTGCAAAGCTCAGCAAGCACTGAGTAATGTGAACAGAGAGATGGAAGTTCTCAGCGGCCCATAGAAGTGAAACTGAGCAGCCCACATTAAAACGTAAAAGCACCTGCCACACTTTGTTCTGTCCCCAGAATAATCTTCCCTAATAACATCCACATTAGGATCTGAAAGAGTTTCAGAGACAAACTGGAGACGCATTGAAAATCTTCTTAGAGAACATGGAGCCTTTTTTACTGATCCATAAAGAATAATTAATTGGCCCAAACTTGAAGTCCTTATGCAGCCAGAACTGTGTGTGTTTTTCCTGAGTAGTGACTATGGAATGCCGCTCTAATAACTATTCACCTGGCCACTCCCCAAGCACAGCACTCTTGGCATGCCACACAAAATGCAACCAACACCACTCATTTATGCGAGTGCTGCGTTCCTGTGTTCTTGACTCGTTATTGCCCCGCCAGGAAGAATCAAAAGATCTCTCTCGTACAAAGTATTCATAATCAATCCATAAAGGTAACAGGTTAGAAAAAATAATGAACCTGGGATACTGGTCTCCTGCAATTCACGGTGACCAGAAAAATGCAGCCCCAACTAAAATACCAAATAGCAAGCGCTGGACACTCAGCAGGGTGCCATGACAACAGGATAGGACTGTTAAAGGCCAGGAATCCACCATAAAATCTTACTAAACCTGAAATCACAGGCAGTCAAAATCCTTCCTCCTCCCCATCCCATCATTACTGCGTTCTTGTCCACTGGTCCTCCAGATGGACTCCCAGCGGCATAGGTTCTATTTCTCACCATTCTCTTCGTTCTCTACCAGCTTTGACAACCACCCCCAAATTAGGCGGAGCAACCCACCCACACTCAGCAATAGCACGAAACACACACAATTAGTTACCAACAGCAGACAAATCGCAGGTGCAACAGCCCAAAGCCTTCTCCTCCCTGCTAAACCCAGCAGGCACCCGAAACTGGCTAGCAAACTCACTTAAATAGAAACTACTCTACGCGGAGTACCCAATCAGAGACCAAACCGATGAGACTCACATCAGGTCATACTAACCTCCCAGACAACATGTCTAGAACAAGCAGTCACTAATGCAATGCCAACAGACTGACGCCATTTCAAGAGATGGGCAAGATGCATTGCTATTGTTTGGATTTGGCCACAGTGGGAGCTAAAGCTTTACAGGGGGGGCTGACGGTACCTGCAGCTCAGGAAAGGTCATTGCGGGTAGTCTGGAGGCAAAACAATTGCTCTGTAACCTTAGTACATCTGATGTGAGTTTTGCTTGACATGTTTCAGGGGCCATATCTGCTAAGGAAGGACTCGGCGCATGCCTGGTACCACCCTTTGGCCTATGCACACCACACGTGCTCAGTTTGCCTAAAGAAAATAAAATAAAAGGCTAATCAACAATAGCTTCAAAAAAGGTGGTTTTCCATCTGCTGTCCCTGCCCAGTCCCCTGGGCTCCCTCCGAGTATCAAACTAACCCTTTCTGGACTTCACACCATCGCTGGCGATAAATATTTCACAGTTCTCCATGTTGCTGGACAGGAGAACGATGCTTGAGCCTGAAGAAAACTCCAGTGGCTGCATTTTCCTTCGCAATACAGCTGAACTTCTCAAGCAGTCATCTACCATCCACTCAACACCTGCCCATCAGCCTTCTTCTCGGATTTCAACTCCTGTTTCTGTCTCTTCCGTGCATCAGTTTCCCACACTCATCCTCACTAACTTCAATTTCCACGTAACCTAGGCCGCATCTTCAACTCGGGCCTCTCTCTAGGTCCTCACACATTGGCTATTTCTAAATCTCACCGGTTCTTTCAGCACTTTCCTATCCATCCCCACAACTAATACTCTTACCCAGGCTCTGCACATCTGAATATTGCAACATCCTTTTCTCTGGTCTTGACAAATGCATCTTGCCCCACCTGGATCCATTCATAATGCTGCTGAAAGATCGTTTTACTAGCCCCTTGCTGTGGCCTCGTCACCCCTCTCTGTCACATCAAACATAAGCTGCTTGTCTTCACTCCCAAGGCCCTTCGTAGCCCATCTGACCCTGTCAACTCTCATTCACTATCGAGATCTTGACTCCCCCTCCAATGAGCCCCATGACACCAGCCTCCATTGCCCAGGTGTTACATATTCCAACAAACACCTTCATGCTGCTCCCACGCATAGGACGAGCTCCCTTTAACTGTCTGCCAAGCCACCTCATTATCCTTCAAACTCTCCTCCACCACAATGCCTATAACAAAGTTGACAATGGCTAGGCCACTGGTATGCTGAGACAGTCCCTATCGTGCTGACCAATATGGTTTCCCTGTACTTCCCCCATCTGTCTGTATCCATCTGTTGTCTCATCTATTTAGTGGGTCAGCTTTAGGGGGGGAGAGTCTTTTTGTTCTGTTTGTACAGCGCCTAGCACC